GAAGGCCCACTTCCTCAGTTTGCATTCTCAATGGAGCCTCAGCTTCGAAAACTGGGATTACCGACTAAGCTTGATAAAGGTTTGTCATTTATTGTCACGAATGTTGAACATGTCGCTGTAGTTCGTTGAGGCAATATCTGTGGTAGGTCTTTTCCTTTCTTTAGGAAGACCGTCTCACTAAATAGCTCAGTGCTGTTTTGTCGCTACAGATTTGTCCTGTAGCTGTACCCACGCTATGAATCCTCCTTTGTTAATTTGTTACGCGTACTCAATTTCAATTGGAAGGATGGTCGGTGAAGCACGATAACCCATTGTTTTTGCCTTATCCGCTGCATTTTTGATTTAGTGCAAGTCCTGTTCCTGCTTTCCAACCCTAATCGGAATCGCAATTTTAAACTGCATTATAAATTGGCGCGACTACATATTGTCTGGCAGCTCTCTTGAGTTGAGAAATGCTTTTAATGTTATTTTGATGGGGAATTCAGTGCTCCTGAGGAGTATTAATCTTTTATGTGGGGGGGGGTACTATGCAGTAAGAATCATTTCCTGTAGAGCTTCATTTCCAGTGAATTTTTTTAAAGATTTCCCCATAACTTCCTCACGTTTTACAAAGTTCTTTTCAGGAGCAATAGTTTTATATCAGGATTACGACATCTGTAAGGAAGGAGAGCCCTTGACCGCAGAGCAAGCGAAGGTGATTATCATTCTGCCTTGCTTCTTCCATTGTCCGGTTTACCGGTCTTGTTATTTTGCACTGTTCTCCATCTGAGTGAATTTTTCAGGTCCTCAAGCTGTTCGATCACAAATTGGCTGAGTTCAAAATTAATATCGTGTCGCAGTGGGATAAAGAAGACGGCTATAGGAATCTCCCGAAGAAAGAGGCGAAAGAGAGACTCGACAGCGAAACAGCTGGTAATGAGTCATAGTTTTTCTTTTCTCATTGAATATTTTATTGTTAATCATTCTTGTTGCTCCTTTTGTTACGTTTGATATTTTAACAATTTGTTGAGTTCTCTGTTGGAATCGATTGTTTGAATACAAAAAGTTATATGATTCTACCGATCACATCCAGAAAAGATTGAGAAACTTAAAGCTTAGACAAGTGAGAAAGAGACTCCATACTATTCCTATCAGTTATAAGTGGACAGGCGAAAAATTGTTCGTTGCGGGAATCTCGGGTCCACTGATGATTCGCTGCGGGAACCTCGGGTCCACTGATGATCAGCGGTGGACCTGAGGTTCCCGCAGCGGAAAATGTTTCGCGCTGCGAAACGCGAAAAATCGCTTTCTGTCCTAGTGAACCACACCCGTGGATTGTGTTGTACGTTTTACAATGTGGCTCTAAAGTCATGTAGCAATCCGATTGTGTAAGCTCGATGTGCAAAAGCATGGTCAGTGTCAGCGCTCATTGCTTAGCGAGCAATGAGCGCTGACACTGACCATGCTTAGCAAATTCAGAATAACCGTCTTATAGTTAGGACGCTTCCATAGTCAAACGCAGATCATTCGGACTATGAAAACGTTACTGGGCAGGTGTTAGACTTCGCGATCGCAGCCGTGCCTTTTTTGATCCACACGCCTTGCATTGCGAAACCTCGTCCCATCCACGACTCTGGCATCGCACCAATATAATAAATGGTTTCGCCCTATAACTTGGAGGATAAGTGAAAAAGGCGCTCCCATAGTCGGCAGTCCGATCGTAATGACCGCGCACTCCTTAATATGGATCGATCGTCCGACCCGATCGGATATATCGAACGGTTGATACGTGCTAATCTAATGCTGTGCAATATTTGCAACTAGCACGACCGCACGACGGACTACGGAACGGTGCCTATGACTGAAGCAACCAAATCTCGTCTATGGCCATGTCCAGTTGAACCTCTCATAATTACTTCAATTTTTTGTAAAGGGGGCCGTATGCTATGCTTCCCCGAAGCTAGGTGATCCAAAGTTTCCTTTAAATTTATTTGTTTTCGATGTAGTTTCTTCATTTTCAGTGCATGTTTACTTTAACCTACATACATACATTAAATGTAGGCCCTTTATCAGGACAATCCCAGTTGGGAAGACAGAGAAAATTTAAAGGGATTTTCGTCCCCTAACCCTTCGGGGAGGATAGCATACGGCCCAAAATCTTCACACTTTCAATACACACCTTCATTATCCATGTGTGATCGCTTCACTTTCGTTTCCGCGGGCCAATTATCATTGAAGCTGTCGTAATAGTAGTCTTTATGAATGAGTGAGTTCTCGAGCATAACCTTTATTACCTATTATTAATGTTATCTAACAATGCTCTAAAAGAGAATATAAAGGAGAATTTACACTGCGTTCGGCTTCGAGCAGGGCGAATCTCATAGACGCAGATAAAACTTGCATACATATGATACAAGTCAACGATAAAAATTGGGTTGAACGTCGGCTGCTAATCACCGACGCTAATGGGAAGAATCGCACGGTAGAAAAGTGGCAGCCTCAGAAGGCTTACTCAACATAGGGAGATGGATAGAAGGGAAAAAGACGAAATCCTATATAAAAATAAGGTTCCAATTCAAAAACATAATATATAGAAAGAATATTTGAGTGAAAAGCTGTTGATAAAGAAGAATTCCGAGTAGTGGTAAAACTATAAGCTATGATTATACAAGTAGAAGTGTTGCAAAAGGCCATCATGAGGGCTGACAATTCGAAACACATCCTCGATCGACTCACAAAACGACAGTACTGTGGTGACAGTAGGTTGATGAAATCTGCACCGATCGATGAAAATTGCTTACAGTGGTAAAAAGTACTATTACTACTACTTATGCTACTAATTCTATGACACTAGATATGGTGAATAACTATGAGCTATGCTAAAAACGCCTAAGGGAGAGTGAAGTAGAAACGCTTCACACTTAAAACTGCGGCGACTCAGGCGGTGTCGCCTGCGCACGGAGGGCTTCACTCGGTGAATCTGTAACAACAATGCATTTGCACCTAGATCACTTGTGGGCTGCTACCATTACTGAAAAAAGGCTCTGGTAAAACCCGGGAAATCTACGAACATACTCTTCGGATGATCGTTGGATACACGCATTGACTGGAATTGACCATTTAAGGACATGACAGCACGCGGAGCTGCGCGCACAAAACGCCCTCCCTGTAATTACAAATACTATTCTTACACAAACCAGGCCGCGTTTTCTTCGAAGTACATTCGGGAAACATAAACAAGCACATGCTAAGCAAAACATGCAAATAAATTAAAACGCAGTCCGACCGATCTTTGTCGTCGTGGTGGCCTTTTCGCTGTATTTCTTCCAGGTGCACACAGGCGGTTGTTAATTCCCGCCTGTGCGTCAAATTTGCAGTCGCCACACATTGCATCTGTCGGTATAGCCTTGCTGTCCCTCTACACGATCTCTTGGTGGTTCTTTTAAAGCCGCCTTCACATTCACAGCGTCATCGCAAAACATTATTGACTTCCTCTGATTATCCTTCCTATTCGGTGGCGAGTCTTCAAATTCTCTTTTTAAGCCATTCCAAGTGTCAGCAGAACTTTCCTGAAATGCTCAGAAAAGGCATGCAAAATAAACACAATGCTCCTGCCACAGATAATTCTCGTGCACAAGTCAGATTTCACGGCAAACCTGCTTTTCGAACCAAATGTCGCAAGTTGGTCCCGAAGTCTGAATGCCCAACTTACGGTATGATGCTTCGCAGATGTGGTGGATAACATCTGCTGAGCTTCCAAATCTTGTTGGGCACTTCAAACTAAGGTCCGCTGTCCTCGGCAGCAGAGATCTGTGCGAAATTCTGTGGCTCGAGCCAATTTTTGGTATCGAGCAGCACACACAAAAGCATCATAACGTCAACATCACTGATGACAGGAGCATTTGCTTCATGGAGTGAGGGCCCACCTCCACCCCCCACCTCCACTTTCCTACACACGGATCGCCTCCACACTTCCCCTCTGTACCATCGACTCGCATGCACCGCACAAACACACACCAAACACACCCGACATTAACGTGCCACCGCATCCGACATAACCTAATTCGACGCACAGAACCACATATAGGCATCCCCATCACAAGAACCCAATCTTCTCAGTCTCGCCAGCACGTCCACCTCACCTCATGGCGTCATACAGACTCCTGCAAACTCTTTTCCCACACAAAGTGACTTATTTATGCATCGCCACCTCAACTTCCCCTGTCCCAGCACACTCGTACTTCGTCCACCCATTACGTTCCACCGCCCCCATCTCAATACACACCTCTCACCACACACAACTCCCCGGCGACAAGAACCTAACCCCCCGTGACCCTCCGCAACGTAGCTCAAAAGAACCACCGTAGGCGTGCTACAGATTCTCCCGTCGCCGCCACTAAGCCCCCCTCCCCCACCACAGCGACCCGATGTCCTCTCAGAAACCCCACACGCCGCCCAGACTCCTCTCTCAACTCTTCTCTACCTGCCACCTGATTGAACAGTACGTCTAGCAAACATCACGACCACCTGTGGAGTGGCCTCCCATGTAGGCACCCGCCCCAAAATCCTGATGCGATTGCGGCGCATCGTAGTGTGGCTCTCTGACGCTTGTTGCGGCCCGCTATTCGCCTCGCACGTACAGCGGTGTAGCGTTGCCGGCGGGGCTCCATTACCGTACATCATTTGCATATTTGCGGCATCGCCTGCGGCTGCCATGGGGGTGTTGTTGTAGTAGAATGTCTTAATTAAGGTCTATTTCATACAATGAAGAGTACCTATGCTCCACATTCATACCTGCTGATATGGAACTCCAATCGCCTATCTGGATGTGGCAAAAGTATGGTGCCCGACGGACTGAACCATGTGCCATACCATCTTGTCAGCGCAGACCACCTGCCGTGGTTCCGCACGACCAGTCGGCGCTCCCCCCTGAAAACTCATATTATCAACTTTGGCACCAACGCCACCCCACCCTCTCTGAAGACAAAAATCTGAAAATGTATGGCTACGAAAGGGAAGGGACGTCTACATGAGCTGGTAACATGCACATTTGAATGAATGTGAACAGCTGCTAATATCGTATAAACATATTGCCTCACGAATGTGCGAGTAAGGGGGGGGGGGGTCTGACGTAATCGCACAGCTCAGTAAGGTTGGTGTCAGAGTCAATCCGTCGCAAGTTTCGCGCAATTCGCGCGGATCGCAAAAATTGCAAGTGCCCCATTTGAACATTTGAAACACTGAATATGAAACAAGTAGAATCATGAACAGTCGTCATTCAGCCATCACCATCAAGCAGAAATGGCGGCGGGATTGGAGAGCACCTTGCAGTATTGATCGGGCACTTGTGATTTCTGTGACCCGTCGCGCGAATCGCGCGATACTGCGACGGGTCGCGAACTCTGACACCAGCCTAACCTCTGCGGCATCAATAGCATCAGTAGCATCGCTAGGTCCAGAGCAGTATACACACATTTATGATTTAGGAAAACGAAGTGCAGTACTTGATGTCTTCAAATCAAAAAAAAACTCACAGGAGTAGGTGGCGCTTGCGGCTGCAGGTACACCGGATACTGGATACAAGGTTGTGGCTGTTGTACGGGCACTGGCGCGGTGACCACCGACACCGACGAACTGGCAGCAGTAGCAGGTGGTGTTGCAGGCAGCTTTGCCGCCACCGGTACCACCACTTCAGCATTTGGCGCAGATGCCTGGCTGCGAGTGGGAGAGCCATCCGGAGAAGTGGCTATAAATGTTTTCTGAATATACCACTTCAGCTAGATGCACGAAACCCACCTGTTCCGTTTGCAGCACCGTTAGCAGGCTGCTCAGCATTGGTGTTGGCCGGCGCAGCGACAGGATAAATCATCGCCTGGGGAACAGGTGAACCGGGTGTGTACACGTAGGCCTGGAAAAGTGAATGCTCTTAGAAATAAGGTATGCCGTGGGATGGAATAAGCAGGCACCGTGTGGGTACGCGACAATATGCTGACATGCCGTTGCGACTGAGAACGGTCAAGACCTTGTGACTTGGGCAATAACTACCACTTCTAGTTTCTTCATGTTCCCTGGGGCCGTATACAGCACATGCTCGGGTAGGGATGGTCTTCCATGTCTGACAGTAGGGTATGCTTTCCTTACCGAGAAAAAGGGTTATTACCAGTGCGCGGTAAAGGACATGCTTCACATGGAACCCCTTGAAAACTCCAAAAATTAAAAAAAGAATACCTGTGGAGTGTTGACCATAACGAATGGTGGCTGCGGAGGAAAAGAATAAGTATAACCATATGTGGGTGACTGTACCAGTCCTGTTGGAGTAGCAATTGCATAATCTGCGACTAGATCAATAGATTAATAGAGGAAATTCTTACAAGTCTTTACAACTAAAGGATCTTACCAGTTGAGTAACGCTGTGACATGCGTCTAAGAGCCGGCCCAAGATTCAATTTGCGACCTTTAAATTCCAATTTTTCGGGCGACTGAAAAACATTGCACATTTATTTTCATTACAACAAGCATGACTCATTTTAGAATTCCATTCCTCACAAGTGAATGTGCTAGAGC